GGATAACGAAACTGACTAGGGAAGTCTGCCTTAGAAGCTGACTCCAAAGCTTACGTGGAGATTTCTTAGAACTTTTGGGATTTTTCTAGCAGTGTTAAGATAGAAAAAGTGGGGTGAAGTGATGGTTTCCAAGAAAACGTGCCTGAGATCAAGATCTCAGGGGATTTTGTTTGGCTCCCAGCACAGGCCTTCCTGCAGGTTTGAGAGACTGATGGCTGTCCTAATGACTTTTACATGGCCGACCAGATTTTAGATTTTTATATTAGAAAGATATATAGATAGAGGTCTTTTGTCTACACCTGTACAGGCGGGTCGGAGGTCATTAGGGGGCAGAGGGGCCTTCGGCTAACGTCAGGGAGTGGCCCTGACCAGAAAACCTCAGTTGCTCCTCTGTCTTTACCGTCCTCACGCGAAGACTTTAGACCGGAAACAAAAGGAGGAAATTAGAAGAGATTTGTGTTGCCCTCCTGGTGGGGAGAGATACTCACGAATTCTGCATTTCAGAGGGCACCAGCTGCTAGCTAGCACGAGGTTCAGAGGCCCCCACGTTGGGCGCCAGATATGGGCGTGCGGGGATCTCGGGGCGGAGTGCGGTGGGTCCCGTGGGCCGCGTCTGCTGGGGTGCGCGCGTGTCCCTCACCACGTTGCTGTGGGTCTCCGCATCTACTGGGTGCTGGCAACTCTACTGATCCTGCGCTCCCAGGCGGGCCCCTGCTTCTCCTCGTTGTTGAGGCTCTCTGCTACCGGGGCTGGCCCGGTCGGTTCCGTCCCAATCCACCGTGCACTTCCTCGAGATATGAGATCCGTCAGCTGCCGGATCGCGTGGGAAGGTGCGGAGACGGTGAAAGCTGGATTTCTGTGAGTCGCGGTTTACAAAGAGACAGCTCTCTCTGGAGAGGCAGGATCACACACAGAACTCAGCTCAGTCAGTGGTACAGCCCCTTTATTCAGTGACTTAGCTCGGCTCAAGGTCTTGGTGATCCAGCTCCGATTATTGAGGGAAAACTAGGATACTTTATACTGTGGGGGTAGTGGTAAAAGCCTTAG